TAATAATAATAATAATAATAATAATAATAATAATAATAATAATAATATTTGATGCTTATTTCACCATGGGATTATTCTAGATGGTTTACAACAATAAAATGAAAGAAATGAAAAGAGTGTAAACAAAAAAGTGTAAAATAATAGAACAAAAAACAATGAAGAAGAACACAACAAGATTACATCAGTATGATAACCGAAAAGATGGACAAAAAGAGGCTCTTCATACTGTCCTTCTATTGATGCATTCTAAGACTGCATTGGCTTTTTTGGGGCAATTGCTCGGTTTGTCAGGAATCTGTTTGTTCTCCCATTTGGTACAGTTTGTCTCCCAGTTGATGTAAGAATAGCTAAAGTCTTCTATTATTACTATAGTGTGTTTCCTTGACAGCTTCACTAACTGGTTAGGAAAAAGTTTATCTATTTTCTCTGGTTGGGTGTTCTATTGTGTGCACCTATGACAATGTAATTCCTTTTCCCTTTAATCTCAATCCCAATGCATTCATTAAGGTTTTATCCTTTTTTCCCCATTTCTATAAGTGTGGTTATTTCTTACATATAATATATCTGTACATCCTCTTTTGTTTGGTCTGTTTATTTTGAACAATTTAAATCTATGTTCCAGCCATGCGTTTCATCCCACCTAGTTTCGAAAATGCCAACAATGTTATATCTGCCCTCGTGTACTAGGATTCGAAGTTTACCCTGCTTGTTTCTCATACTTAATGTATGACATCTAAGTATAGGCATCTAAGTCCTGTTTGATTGATCCTGTGTTTGCTTCCTACATCTACTCTTTAGTATCTGAGTTTCCCTTATTTACCACCTGGTTGGTTGCTATGAAGTTTATGCTTTGGATTAGATCCTAAAAATTGGTTTCTCTCTCCTTCCAGGTTTAGTAAAATAATGAACAAGTATGCCTAAGCAAAAAATTATATGAAAAGTAGAAACCCTAGAAAATTTAACTAAAAAAGAGTTTTCTATTTCAGATGGGATGGTCAAAGCTGATCCCCTAAAATAACTTCTCTTTCTTTAGAAAATTACAGTTATAAACTAGTTGGTATATTATTTCTTTCTTTCTGCAATATTGAAATTCAGATATAAAGATTAGATAAAAGAATAAAAATCAGAAAAAATACAGTTTGCAATCTCAAAGCTGAACAGAAATCTGAATAACAATTCACAAAATTCAAGTTCAGCAGAGAGCACAGTAGACTGACAAACATGCTTTCTTAAATATGATAACACTACTATGAGCCTTTGTGGCGCAGTGGTTAGAGTGCAGTACTGCAAGCTACTTCTGCAGCTAGCTGTCTACAATTTGGCAGTTCAAATCCCACCAGGCTCAAGGTTGACTCAGCCTTCCATCCTTCTGAGGTGGGTAAAATGAGGACCCAGATTGTTGGGGGCAATATGCCGACTCTGTAAACCGCTTAGAGAGGGCTGTAAAGCACTATAAAGTGGTATATAAGTCTAAGTGCTAAGTGCTATAGCCTATCAATTCCTTCACATTCTCCTTAGAATCATAGAATCAAAGAGCTGTAGAGGTCTTCTATCTAGACTAGTCCCAGACTGTTCATGGCAGGAGCTTTATATATCCCAGTCAAATGGTTGACCCATCTATTTTTGTAAACCTCCAGTGGTGGAACACCAGCAACCCCAGGTGGCAAGCTATTCCACTGATTAATTGCTCTCACTGTCAGAAAATTTATTCTTACTTCTAGGTAGGATCTCTCTTTAACAAGCTTCCACAATTATTTCTTTTCCTGCCCTCTGATGCCTTAGAGAATAAGTCAATCCCCTCTTCTTTGTGACAGCACTTCAAGTACTGGAATACAGTTAGCTCTGTGCTGATACTTCAATAAGCTAGACATAGAGCTCCCTCAACCATCACATAATTTAGTCTCCAGACCAGAGGTGGTACTCAGCAGGTTCTGACCAGTTCTGGAGAACCGGTAGCGTAAATTTTGAGTAGTTTGGAGAACCAGCAAATACCACCTCTGACTGGCCCGTCCCAATCTATTCTCTGCCTCCTGAGTCCCAGCTGATTGGCTGGGTCTTCTTTTGTTGCCCTGCACAGAACGGAGCTGGAAAGCAGGTAAGTGGGGTGGGGAGGGAATGGGATTTTGCAGTAACCTTCCTCCAGGAGTGGGGAGGGAATGGGAATTTTGCAGTATCCTTCCCCTGCCATGCCCACCAAGCCACATCCCACCCACCAAGCCATGCCCACAGAACCAGCAGTAAAAAACTTTGAATCCCACCCCTTTATCAGACACTTAATCATGATTGTTGCTCTTCTCTGCACACATTTCAGGGTCTCTTTTTTTGTATCATGACCAGAACTAGATGCAATTTTCTGATTGCCTTGACACTATCACTCTGTTGATGCATCCTAGCAGTTGCAGCACATTGCTAGCTCATAATTAAGTGGTACTCCACTAAAACACCTAGATCCCCATCACAATTACCACTGTTAAGCCAGGGGCTGTTTATTTTATAACCTATGCATTTGGTTTTTCCTGCCTAAACATAGGACCTTACTTTTCTCACCACTGACCTACATCTTATTGGATGGAGCCCAGTGTTCAAACCAAGATCATTCTGGGTCCTGAGCCTATCTTCTAAAGTGTTGGCTATTCCACCCAGCTTGGCGTCATCTGCAAGTTTGATTAGTTCCCCTTCTATCCCATCATCTAAATCATTTATGAAGATGTTGAAGAGCACTGGATTGAAGACAGAACCTTAAGATACCCCACTTCATATTTCACCTGTCAATGTAGTTGCATTGAAGATTACCTGCTGAGTGTGGTTGGTCAGTCAATTTCAAATCCATCTGGTGGTGGAGTCATCTCTTTCTTTTTCCCAAGCTTCAGTAACTAGGATTTATTTATTTTATTTATTTGATTTGTCAATCGCTTACAAGGTGATAGATATAAGTATAAACATGAGTAAGAATACAGGAAATAGGTACAAATAAATGGGGACAATAGGACAGGGATGGTAGGCACTAGGTCAGGAAAAGCAAGGGCTTAAATCTTAATGGGCGTCAAAGTATTTTAACTTCTCAGTGAAAAAGTGTGTCTGTGTATAGGAAAGAGCCTCTATTTTAGCAACCTTTCTTCAAAATTTCACCCCACTCTGCAGTGAAACTTCAAAATAGTTTTCACTGACATCAGTGGGAGCTGTTTTAAGTTTCATTATAGTGAAGGAGTATTCACTCTTGGTGTGTTTTAATGTGATTCCAGGCATATACAAACAAGACACATACTGTTGGGATGTGTTTTGCCCACTTTGGGCTTTACCGCTATTCCTTCCTGGTATGTTACATCAACATACTAGTCCAAGCCAAATAAGTCTTCGTTGAAATACATTTCTTATGTTGCTTAAATTGTGGATAATGTACATGAAATATTTCAACACCCATGCAAATATGTCTATAATATAAACTACATATATAAGTCATGCATAAGAGAATGTTTTTACATACTTACATTACATACATATAGAAAAAAATAAACCTATATGTGAATGAACAATTTTGCTAATATATTTTATTTATTTAGTTGCCAAATATATATAGCTGTCCATGTCATGTGTTTTGGTTTGATTCCCAGCACAAATCACAAATCCTACCAATAACAATTAATTAGTTGTTAGAGGGTTCATGTTTATATATAATGCTTACACTACTGTCATCCTCAGGCACACACACACACACACACACTACCAAGATTTCACAACAAATGGACACAAACCTTTTGGAAACCAGCTTCTTACAGCTGCATAGACATGTTTCCTCCTGCTTCTTCTTAGATATCAAGATTCTGTGCAAGTGTTAAGTTGCCTAGAAGATCTCACCTTTCGAGATGACAATATTATTGGACAGTCCCTCTTCATTTCAGGCTGTCTGAACATTATACTTTATGCTGGTAAGTCCTTTAAACAGTATCTAAAATGCATGTTTAAAATAAAAAAACAAATTAAAAACAATTATATCTACCTTTCAACAAAATGTTGTCTGTACAATAATTAAAAGACAAACAATAACATAATAAAATGATAAAAAAGAATAAAAAGTTATACAATGAACTGAAGAATGGAAACAAGGTTATAGTGTAATAGAAGATCTTTTTTAAATCTGAAAAGCAATAATCTGTGAAAAGACCTGTCATATCTCACAGAATGACGGCTATAGATATTTACTCAGAATTAAACAGTACTGATTTCAGTGGACTGACTTAAAGGGAAAATGTAGAAATGAGGCTGTGCTCCAAAACAGATTGCTCTAGGAATCCGCACCTAGGAGATTCCATGAAGTGGGCTGCTTCATGAAAATTACTACTTGGGAGCTGCCTTTGTGCTTTATCAATTTACCCTAATCTCTGAACTCTCTTGTTCAGAGTTCTAAAAATTTTAAAGTCTACACAATCACTTATACCATCACTAAAATTAAGTGTAATTTACATTATTAAATATTCCACATAACCCTAGAAGGTAAATCACTATCAATGTTAACAGTAACATATAATCAGAAAAAAATCTGTTAAGGAATCCAAATTGTAACTTGTTAGCCTTCACAATCACCTGCTAACAAGTTTCACCCAATAGTCAGTAATGTGGCCAAGTCTTGGTCATATCCATATAATCCATATATACCAGGAGTTGAGATTGAAAGCTTTATTTCTTAGACACAGGATGAACTTGGGAAATACAATTTCAAATGAAGTATCACCTAAATATGTAACTTTAATAGTAAAGTTACATATTATTTTAATATTAAGGACTTTGTGAAAATATACAAAGGTCAAAAAAGTTCATTTTAACATTAACAAATTAGCCAAAGTGATTACCATCAGAAATATTTTGAAAATAAAAGAACACCAGTATGAGATACTGTCATCCTATAAGAAATTCTCTCTTTTCACGCTCATGGCAAATTAGGGTCTCTTGCAGAATTTCCACTTGATCCAGGAGCAGAAAGAAAGACAAAAAGTTCCAAGTATCAGAGAAGAAAAGCTTTATTAATCAGATCCAAATATTGTGACATATATTTTTCAAGAGCAAACCTTGAAAACTTGTCAGGCCTCATTAAAAAAACATAGCATTTTTATCCCTTTCTCTTTTTTGATCTTTGACTTTTTGTATCTGGCCTACTAGTGTTGTTATCCTAGGGTCAAACCAAGTAATAGTTTTATTGGGCACAATTTTAACCTCTTCAAGATTGAGTATGTTCAGGTTAAAAGGGGCTATAAAATAAAGAATGATGCAAGATAATTTTCAGCCATGCTTAGGCCCCAACAATGCAGCTTTATATATTTAATTGTTACTTTTTTCTGGCCTATTATCAAGATCCCAATTCTAAATATGCTTCTTTCTCTATATGCCCAGAGATATTAACATATTGCCAAAAAGGCATTGCAGATCTGCTGATATTTGCTAAGCATACAGTATTACTAGATTCCATGAACAAAGAGTTGTTCCACTGAGTTTTTCTTCAAGTGATGCACTGTTACTAATGTTGATATATGTTATCTACTCTGTGCTATTGAACATTTGGAGATGTTCAACTTTCACTGGAATCATAGCCAGCAATACATGCTTAATAATGCTTTTTTTCCCCCTAGGATTTTGTTTTAAGCCATTTAAGTACTGCCAGGATTTTATTCTCGCTAATGAAACAAACTGCATACTTATGTCTCAGAACAACATCATGTTGAGCTTGTATTCTTCTCTGGCAATTTGGTAACTTTAATTTTTTGTAATGCTGTTATATGACATTATAGTTTTTCCTTTTTATGTTGTAAGATAGAAATGTATAGGTTGATCCATGGCTTACTGGAACTCAGTGTTACTGTAGGAGACTGCACTGTTCTCTATGGATGTGTGTATCTGAATCTTTCTCTGATCTGAGCAATGATTAGTGAAACATATTTTAAACTGTAACAGAAATGGGATTTTCTGTGAAAAAGTAATAAAGGGTTGATATAGAAAAGAAATTAATTCTCTACATGTACCCCACTTATTTCATGTGGTTTTTTTAAAGTCATGAATTGCCAAATAATCAATTACACACCTTCAATCTACTAGCCACTGTTGCACACCAAATTAATTCTTGTCATCTGATAGTAAGTTGTTTAACTGAATTTAATTAAATGAATAATTGAGTCAGCTGGAACTTTTTGTATTGTATGACAAAAAAAAATCTATAGTGGATTTCCAAAGACTAATGTTGCCAAGACTAATGTTGTAATTCTAATGCTCAATCTTATAAACCACATTCCTATTAATTTCCATCATCCATTTCTCTTTTTCCAACATGTTTGTTTTTTGAGAAAATAAATAGATTTCTAAACTACCTTAAATATGGAAGGAGTGGAGAGTATAAAAATATCATACATTTTTGACCTTGATGTCCTTTCATTCTGAAAACTCATGTTTCTATATATATCACTAGAGAAGGGCTGACTCTCCTTCTACCTAACATGTGAGTTTATCATCTAGGTTTGCCAGACTTCAGCAATGGGATAAATTCATAATACCATTTGAAAAAGCAAGGCGGTTGTTGAGGAGAACAAGTGCTTCACTCTGTTCTAACCATGGATTCTGTAAGTTGGTGGAGTGTGAGACTCTGTTATTAAGAAAATATATAGAAGAGAGGCCTGACAAAGTTCGTGAGATGCATAACAGGATAACAAAGGTGAGGAATTCAGAGATGGGTATGCAGAAATTTATTTACTTATTTAGCAATTTCTAGCAAGCACAAACAGTGAACTGTCAAATCAGCCCTCTATTTTCATAATCAGTTTCTAATTTCACCTAAAATCTCCTTTTTTGTTTTACTTAGCAGATATTAAATGATAAGCATTATTATTTTAACAGCAACAAGAAGTTTGGCTTAGGATAACTAAAAATAATTATTTCCAATACTTCTTCTAAAACCCACAAAATTGGATTTTAATATATACCACGTTTCCCCAAAAATATCACCTACCCCAAAGTCAGTCCTAGCTTGATTTTTACATGTGTGACCAATACAAGCCCTACTCCAAAATAAGCCCCAATTAAGACCCCACCCACTCCAGGATGCATGGGTAAAAATTAAGCTAGGGTGGGGATGGCGGGGGTGGAGTTGCCTTACTACTTACCTTCAGACAGCTGCAGCCAGGTCTTGCGCATCCTGACACCTGCCTTCCTGCCCCATTTCTTCTGCAGCCAGCAGCCTTCCTGAAGGCCTCTGCAGCTGATTACATAGCTCTGGATTGATCCGGAGCTCTTTTATCTGCTGCAGAGGCCTTCAGGAAAGCCTTGCCAGCCACAGAAGTTCCTGAAGACCTCTGACAGTGAAAAGAAGGCCAGGGATAACACACACAAGTGAGTCAGTGGATGACATCCCCCAAAATAAGACCTGATGCCTTTTTTGGTGACAAAAAAGAATATAAGAGTCTTATTATGCCTATTATGATCTTTACCTTATAAGCTGGTTTTAGCCTTTATGGTGACAGTGGTTCTATAATCTAAGGAAGGAATTGGGATGGCTTGTGATCCTGGTAATTTATTTATTTGGCTTTCCTATTTGTATAGTGCTAGAATCCAAATTATGATAATATCTTTTTTAAAAATCCAGTATATCTGAATCAAAAGATTGGGAAAGCTCTTTCTATTGAATATCTGCTGGATAAAGACTTTATAGCTCAAAGGTAACTCTAGGGTGAACAGGGGACAAGGGTTTTGATTTATTTCCCGAAAGGGTACTGCTAATAAACTGCTCCTTGCTGTCTGTATCTTCTGTATTTCATTTTAGAACATAGAATAACAGAGTTGGAATGGACTTTAGAAGTTTTCTAGACATTCATGTGTCCAACCTCCTATTTATTCTGGACACATGATTATCATTCTCTTCTTGAAAATCTCTAGTGATATAGCACCCACAAGTTCTGGAGGCCATCTAATTAATTTTTTTCACTCTCAGAAAATTTCTTTTTAATTCTAGCTTGGATCTCTCTTTAATAACCTTCCATCCATTATTCCTCGTCCTGTCCCTGGGTGCTTTGGAGAATAGATTGGCCCCCTCTTCTTTGTGATACCCCCGCAGGTATTGAAAGATTGCTATCATGTTATCCCTAATCCTTTTTGCTAGATAAGACATCCCTAATCATTCATTAGCCCCCAGACTCCTAATTCTTCCTCTTTTCTGCATTCTTTCTAGAGTCTCAACATCTTTTCTCTATCAGAATGACCAGAACTAGATGCAGTATTCCAAGTATGGTCTTATCTTCTAAAGTGTTGGCTATACCTCCCACTCTGTAAATTTGATGAGTTCCCTTTCTATCACCTCATCTGCATAGAACATAGAACAAAAGAGTTGGAAGTTTTGTAGTCTAGACTTGAAGGTCTTCTAATCCAATACCCTGCTCAAGCAGGAGACTTATACCATTGCAGACAAATGGTTGTCCAGTCTCTTTTTGAAAGCCTCCATTTATGGAGCATTCACAACTTCTGAAGGCAAGATATTTCAATAGTTGATTGCTCTTTTGATTGGATGGAACTATTTTTTTTCCTTAGTTCTAAATTGCTTCTCTCCTTGATTATTGCCACCCACTGTTTCTTGCCTTGCCTTTTGGTGCTTTGGAAAATAGTTTAACCACCCCTCCCCTGTCTTTGTAGGAGCCCTTCAAATATTGGAACCATGCTATCATCTCTCCCCTTTCACTAGACTAGCCATACCTAATTCCTGAAACTGTCGGTTTTAGTCTCCAGCCCCCTAATCATTCTTGCTCCTCTTGTCTGCACTCTTTCTAGAGTCTTGACATCTTTTTTATATTGTGGTGATCAGAAGTGGATGAATATTCTAAGTGTGGTCTTGCTAAGGCTTTGCAAACCAGTACTAGAACTACATATGATCTTGGTTCTATCCTTCTATTAATGCAGCCAGATTGCATTGGTTCTTTTGGCTGCTGCCACACACTGTTGGCTCATATAAGTGATTGTCCACTATGACTTCAAGATCCCTCTCACAGTTACTGGCATTAAGCCAAGATTCACCTAGCCTATAGCTATAAAGTTGGTTTTTCTTGTCTAATTGCAAAACCTTACATTTATTTATGTTGAATTTCATTTTTTAGATAGGTTTTTTGTTCACGTTTGCCAAGGTCTTTTTTGGATCTTGAGCTTGTCTTCTGGGGTGTTGGCTATTCCTGCCAGGTTAGTGTCCTGATGAGTTCCCCTTCTATTTCCTTGTCTAGATTGTTTATGAAAATATTGAAGAGTACTGGGCCTAAAATGAAACCTTGGGGTACCCCATTACTTCCTTCTCTCCATGTGGATGTAGTCTCTCCATTGAAGACTACAGGTTGAGTATGAATTGTCAGTCAATACGAATCCATCTGGTGGTGATGCTAACTCACATTTTTCTAGCTTCCTAAGAAGTAGGTTATTATCTACTTCATCAAATGCTTTACAGAAATCTAAGTATACTATATCCACAGATTTTGCTGGTCCATTAATTTATTTACTAATTCACTTTGTTGAAAAATGCAATAACATTTGTTTGGCATGATTTGTTTTTTGATGAACCATGTTGGCTACTGGTGTTCACAGATTTGTTGCTTGATTATCTTTTCCAAGATCTTCCGAGATGATTGGTCTGTAATTTCCTACATCTATTTTTTAACCTTTTTTTGAAGATGTGGGAACCACATCAGCTCTTTTCCAGTCCTCTGACAGTTCCCCAGTGCTCTAAGACAGGGGTGGGATACAACAGGGTTAACTACTGGTTCGGGATTTATGAGGTTCGGTGATTTATGATGTGTTTCCCTACACGCTGCAAGCGGGCAGCTGTAATTGTCGCCTGTAAATCGTCATCAGCACGCTGAGTGCAGAGAAGCAGCCTTTGAAACAGCCCTCTTTTCCTGCTTTTTAAACTGCAGCTGTGCCTCATTTGGCAGCTGAAGTTGAAAAATCAGGAAATAAAGATCAGGTAAGAGCCCAGGTGGGTGGGTGGGCAAAAACATCAGCAGACATAGAACCAGTTCTATGTCTGCTGCTCTTCAGAGCTACTGGTTCTACAGAGGTAGACAGAACCGGTAGAAATCCACCCCTGCTCTAAGAACTTTGAAAGATGTATTTCAGTGGTTCTGAAATCACATCAGTTTCATCCTTTTGTATAAAACATTCTTTCACAAAAAATGAATTTTAAGCATTTCTGCTTTTTTCCTCCTATCCATTATCTCCTTGCCTTCTTTTTCCATTAGTGGAATGATTGTTTCCTTGACTTTTTTCTTATTTTTCAATTCTGTTTTAGTTGTGTCTGTCTTTCCTTTTCTTTATATTTGTCCTTTTTGTCTCTCAATTTACCAGAGAATTCTTTATGCAACTATAATTTTTATAACTTAGTTTTCTACATATGAAGTATAACTTCATAATTTACAGCCATCATTAACTATATCATTATTGTGATCCTTTGAGTAAATTACAACAGTTTAAGGTGTTGTGCAGGTTAAATGAGACTTCCAATGTATGGTCTTATATATGTTCTGTATTCCAGCATTCAACAGCGTCAGTTACCATGGCCAATGATGAAGAATGCTAGCTAATGTAGTCCACAAATCTTTGGAGAGACATAAACGTTGCATTTTCATTCCAAGGTCACATAACAACTCAGGGTTTCTTTTAACCCTGGCACAAAGATGCTCTGCATCTTTAATTTTTAAATAATATCCTCATTACATTATCTACATCTGGTCCCCAGCCCAAATGTAGCTTATATCTGGATATTCCACCTTTCAAAATAGTGTTTTGTCCCTTTTCCGAAAGAATTTTTTCTCTGTGGGCATGATCTAGGACAGGGGCCACTAACCTTTTGGACCTCAGGGACCACCAAATTCATAATTTTAAATCCCATGGACCAGAGGCCCTGGGAAAATCCCAGAAAAGTCTGCAGGAAAATTCCCCACCCCATTGTTCTACCGATCGATCAATCTTTACCATCTCAAGCTCCGTTCTCAGGGGGAGAGAGAGAGAGAGAGAGAGAGACTTTTGGCTTCATGCAAGGAAAGCAGCAGAAGCAGCAGAAGTCTTTCTCTCTCTTCCCCAAACTCCACCAAAAATGAGTCTCAACTTGTCACACCAGCGCAGCCTCTTGGAGCAGGATACCTTGTAGGGTCCCAAAGACTCATTTCTGGTGAAGTTTGGGAGAGTGAAAGAAAGACTTCTGCTGCTTTCCTTGTGTGCAGCCAAAAGCAGAAGAAAGAAGTAGCCTGGTGGCCAGGTGAGGCGCTTGGGGTGAGTGGGGCAAGTTCCCCCCTCTGCCCTTTCCCCCGTCCCCTCACTACCTCATGTTGTTCGCAATGCAAGTGACACAAGCCTTATGTTCCTGTGGACCATGTGAGTGGTGCAGCCTTGTGTTTCCACGCAGCCTGGATTAATTGCTTTGGGGGTGCTTTGGGGGTGACATTTCTCTGCAGACCACCAAAATTTTCTCGCAGACCACCAGTGGTCCCTGGCCCACTGGTTGGCAACCACTGATTTAGGACATTTCCTTGTGTAAGGTCCCAAAATGTACTTGAGTCACCAGAATGCCAAAGAGAGAGAAAGAGAGACCCAAGAAGAGGCTTGGAAAAATAACATTTCATTTGTATAAAGAGCTGGATAGACTATTCCACAACATACAGATAAAAAGCATGCAGCAAAAAGCCACAC